ATATTAAATGAATATAGAATGGTGTAAAATTTATTCAAAAATTCAAATTGATAATTTTTATCAATTGCTATTATCTTGTATAAGGAAATAAAAAATAAATCTTATTTCTGCCACGTTGTAAAATATTTTATTCATTATATTTTTCTATTAATTAGAAATACTTGATGAATACAGGAAATATCATTATTTTGAAATAAAACATCTAATATTGAAATTATTAAATTTGTTATAATTAGCAGTTAATATATTTATAATATGCAATCATTTCGTTTTTTTCGAATGATCCTATATTATGAAACGTACATTTATATCAATAATATTATTTATCATCATCAATATTTTGAACTTTCATTAAATTTGATCGTCTTTGTAAATTTCAATTTGATGATCTATAAAATAACAGACAAAGACCCAAACTAAATACTAGTGATTGGCAAGCAGAAATGAATCGTCTAAATAAAAAATTAATAAATAAATTTATATTTCCCTTTTTTCCTTTTTGTTTATTTTTATGGAAAAACTATTCTTAGTAGAGGATGATCTTGAGAATGATACTTCATTTAATTAACTCTCATTCATTATAATCCACAAGTGTTACAATATTGTACAGAATCACAGATTTAACATTTGTATAAAAATCCAATCCTCTATTAGAATTTCAAGATGACACACATTTGAATATTCTCTAATTTTTCCCACTTTATGACCTAATGGGTAAGTAAAGTTTCTAACAAAATAGAGTTTTGCTTTATTATGATAATTTGCAATTACTGACTGTGTAGTAGATTATGTTAGATCATTAATTAATTTGGCTTTATCAATTTCTTCACCCTATTATTCTAATTGCTCATTTGAACAAGACATGCATAAGCCTTCCCCCCCCATAATGATTAATAAATTACTTATCTTCTTTATTCAGCTATTTTTCACATAAAGCGCATTAATCATACAACTCTATATCTTTTAAAATATCTAATTTCTATTTAATTTAATTTTCTAAAATAAACTAATCGATTCCTTTTAATTTTATTGTAAGTGGTTCCATAATTCCATATTAACTTTTATTCTAAACTGCTGACTATTTCATAACGAAAAATTAATCCATCATCTGAAAGTAATGGAATAGTATCTTTATTTATTCTCCATTTAATTATAGCGTATAAAGTTAAATTTTTTTCTTAAAATTAGCTAAGACCATCAAAGCAATCACGTAAATAGTATTAAATGTTACACATTTTATTTAAATGCAAAAATTCTGTATTTAATTTCAGTTCAAAAATTTGATAGCATGATGATGATGATCAACTAAATGTAATTGAATTTATAACATCTATTTCCTTTTTAGTGCTAGTGTAAATAACAATAAAGAAACATATCCAGAACCAAAAACCAGATCCAAAATATCTAAATCATCTAAATTATCTAAATTCTAAAAGTGAAGATAGGTTAACTTAAAACCTTCTATTTCTTTTTTCAAAGAAGATAT